GAGCACATCGACCTGCAGGACATCACGGAGGAGGAGGACTCCTGGTGTCCCACCTGCTCCTCMTCTTCGGACTCGGACTCGGAGGAAGAGGGTTTCTTTTTTGGGAAGCCCATCCCCAAGCCCGGGATGAATTCCCTGGGCAGGGAGCCCCCGGGGAAGGCTGGGGGCAGGACGGCCAAGCCCCGGGGCAGCAGCAAACACTGCAGTGTGTCCTAGCAGTGGGGACACGGGGTCCCTGACGTCCTGCCAGCCCCTGCTGGGTGCTGCCACGGTCTCAACATGTTCCAAGTGCGTTTTGGACGTGGCCCAAGGCTGGTGGGAGAAGCTGCTGGGATCCTTCCCCCCCGGCAGCTGCTGGCAAAGCACAGCCTGCAATTCCTGCTGGCCTCTCCCGCAATTAGGAACAGGTAAAGCAGGAAGGGAGCAGAGCTCACCTGGGCTCCAGCGCCTCAGACATGGCAGCAGCTCCAGGGAGAGCGGCCGGTGCTCCAGACAAGGGCAGCTGCCTGCACCAGACCTCTGGGCCGGGGTTGGATCCTTTGGATCCTTCCCTGGGACTCCTCCTTGCAGGATGAGCACCACTGCCACGTGCTCTCCATCTCTGGTGCCGCCGTGTCCTGGTGGCACCGTGGGGAGGGACCAGGGGGGCAGCTCTGCTGCTGCCAGTGACGAAGCTCCAATAAAGTTTGGCTGAAATCTGAACGCAGGAGGGTCACCCACTGTGACACCGACCGTGCCACCAGGGCAGTGTGACCCCAGGGGTGACCTCTGCCCTCTGCCACACCCCCCATGCTGGGTTCACTGTAGGAACCCTCCCTCACCCACCCCAGGAGAGCGGGATCAGAATGACAGCGGAGAGAGGGCTGCAACAAGAACAGGGTTTATTTTTAGATTTTAAACCAAGAACAACTCCCGGGGTTTGTGGGCACATCCCGGGGAATCAGGAATGGAGGGAGGAGACTGGATGGAGGAGAGGGGCTGCTGCTCTCCCTCCCTCCCACCACCAACCAGTAACACCAGCTCCTCCTTTGGCTGCACACAGAGGTTTGGGCAGGGCTAAAACTAAGCATACCCCCACCTTCCTCCCTCTCCAAGAGATATGGTGGGACTGCCAACATGTCCACGCCCCCCTGACCCGCAGGCTCAGCACCACCTGAGCACAGCAGTGCCCTGGCACGGCTCCCCAGCCCTCCCAGCCCGGCTGGAGGGGGGGTGTCTCCTCAGGGGCTGGGGGTGGCCGAGTCGTAGCTGTCGATGAAATTCTCCAGCTCCTGCAGGTGGTGGAGCCGGCCCTGGCGCAGGTTGGCCCTGAGTGCCAGCCCCAGGGTTGCCTCCATGGAGGGCTCCTTCTGCAGCAGCATCGTGGCCACCACCGCGAAGTTGAGGCTGAACTGCTGGTACGACTGCAGGGCCAGGGGGTCAGCACCCCAAACCAGCAGCACACAGCTCCCCTGAGGGGTATTCCTCCCCCCACGCCCATTTTTTGGTCCACAACCCTCCTGGCAGCACCTGAGCCCCTGCAAACCCCTTCTGAGCAGCTTCCCCTGCCATCACCATCACCAGGAGGGGATTCCCACTGCCCCCCAAAACGCCGAGTGCACATCCCGTCACCCAGCATCGCTCCAGAAGGTCCTGGGCTGAGTCCCCCTCATCCTGCAGCAGGTCCCAGAGCCCCACACCCCTCAGCCAGGGGCCCCCAGGACTCACCAGCTCGATGGCTGCCTTCCTGGCGAGGACGGCGGCGGAGCGGAGATCCCGGCGGGATGGGGAGGGTGTCGGGAGCCTGAAGCAGAGCTGCTGCTGTCCATCCCCAGCCTGGGGGGTGGGAAAGGCAAGGAAAGATCAGATACTTTGGCAAGGGAGAGGGACTGGGCCAAACTGGGGCTGCCAGTACTGATTAGCCAGAGACTGGTGACCTGCTGGGACTTTGGCTCCCCAGGGTTTCCCCCCTTCCCTTGGGTGCCCCCTCTGCCCCAGCCCCAGCAGGGAGAGCTTCCAGCAGATTTCTGTCCCCCATTAGGCAGTAACTAAGCTGCTCTGGAGTGCTCTCCTTGGCTTTGTTAAAGCTCCAGTCCCACGGTTGTTCATGCTCCACACACTCCCCCACACAAAATAATTCCAGTTATTTTGTTGGCCTTTCTCCAGCCCTCTCCCATTTATTGGCATCAGGGGCCGATACGGGCTCTGCCTCCAGACAAAGCAGCTCTTTAACCCCAGCCCAGAATCCTGCTGGGGTTCCAGAGGGATCCCACTCCACTGCTCCTGCTGTGGCAGTGCCCCCAGGCCCAGGGGACCAGCCCCATGTGGGGACCCAGGGGGGCACCCAGACTCCATACCAGGTTTGTCTCACTGGAGCCAGGAGAGTGCTGGGGCTCTGGTGAGGTCCTTGGTGAGGTGCAGGGATCAGGACAAGCCTGGCTGGGCTCTGCATCAGCTTCTGCTGCAGGTCCTGGCGGGACCTGAGAGATTTCAGGTGGCTGAAGGCTCTCGAGAAGCTGTGGGAGAGAGAGGGGCTGGGGGAGGAAGGCAGGGGCTGTGCAGGAGGGGCAGCCAGTGCTGCCAGCACAGCCCCACCTGCAGCAGAGGCCTCGAGGGGCTCTCACCTGGGGAGGGGGACACGCCACAGAGCTGCCCCATGCTCTGAGACCCACCCCATCGTGGGCAGCTTCTGCCTCAGCTTCTCCAGCTCCACTTGGCAAACGCTGCTCTCCCCGGGAATGGGGGCTCAGCTCAGCACCCACCTCTGCAGAGCAGCTGGATGCCAGGTGTTCCCTCTCAGTGGGATCCAGAGGGGCTGCTGGGCTGTGGGGATGTGACCCATCACCTGTGCCAGCCTCGGGGACAGCTGGACTGCCCCGCTCTACCTGTGCAAGGGGTTACAGGTGCGCTGCAGAGCCCACGGCGAGGGCGAAAAGGGGTCTGGAAAGGGGAATGTGCCTCCTCCCAGGCACTGATTTTGGGTGGGAATAAAAACTATCCATAGGGGAAGCAGCGTGCTGCTGGTGGGGAGGATCTGGGGAGCCCTGTGCTGACTCTGTGCCGCTCCCTGGGAATCCCATACCTCGGAGTGCTCCCCTGCCCCGGTAGAGTTCTCCTCCAGTGGGATTGGCTCCGCTCCCAAAGCACAGGGATCCTGGTCCTGGCTGCCCAGAGGTGTCTGCTCAGCTCCTGGCTCAACCTGGGGACAGGCAATGGCGTGAGACTGGGACATGTCTGTCCTGGGAGAGGAGCTGTGGGACAGGACCCACGGGGTGCTGAACCCCAAAGGAAACCACGAGGTTTTGCAGCCCCAGAGAAGAGTCCGGAAAAACTCCCATGCCTGGCAAGGAGACAGCGAGGTGGAGAGTGAAAGGGCTGGACGAGAGAGAGGAGGGAGGTGTTACAGTGGCCGAAGAGCCCTGGGGGTGCAGCCCCCCTGCCTGCCCCGGGAGCAGGGGAATCTCCTACCGGTGTCCCCGGAGCCGCCTGCCCCGGCCCCGCAGCGCAGGGATCAGTGGCCAGGCTCCTTGGAGGGGTCCTGGCTGGCTCAGGGGTCTTGGGGACCTCCCCACTCCCCTCTGGCAGGTCCTGGGGGAAACCACAACACCACACAGGGCTCAGACCGAGCCCCCTGGGGTCACTGCTGGGAGCTGGGACGGGGGGGGCAGGTAAAACCCCACAACCTGGCTCTGTTCCGGCCTCTCCACAGGACCCTGGGGGGACACGGGTGGCTGGGGAGGATCAGGGGGCTGCAGCTCTTTCCTGGCCGCTGGCTGGCTCGTCTTGGGGCGGGGAGGAGAGGCCCTGGAGGGTGGTTTGTGCCCTGCAGAGCGGGAAACAACGGCAGCAGCTCCTGGCTCTGCTCAGGGAGATGCTGGAGAGCACCAAGGAAGCAGGAACGGGGGCAGCACAAACCTCTGGGGGGTCTGGGACCCCACTCACACGGGATCAGGGTCAGCTCCCGGCGGCTCCTGCGAAGGCGTCGGCCGTGTCTCCCCCTGGGGGGGTCACAGTCCCAGGGGGGGTCACAGTCCCAGGGGGGGCCCCTGCCACGGAACCCCCCTCGTCTCCTGCAGCAGCAAAGGCAGCCCCGGGGCCGGGGGGCACTTTAGGAAGGGGTCTCCAGTGCAATCCCCCTCTATGCTGAGCAGGGCCAGGAGTGTCACCCCGTGGCTGTGCCCCCACGCAGTGCCCACCCCCAGTGCCCCTTCGTGCCACCCCACAGCCACACGGACCCCCTGAACCCCCACCCTGGGCACGGCACTCACCCTGGTGGGCTAGATGGATGCCAGGGTGGGGGCTGCTCCTCCTCCAAGGGGGGTTCAGGACAGGGGCCAGGCTGCCACTCCTGTAGGAAAGGGGGTGGGTTTAGACAGGGAATGGGACAGGGAATCCTCCAGTAGAGCGGAGGCTGAGCTGGGAAACCCGTCCCCGCACCCTGTCCTTGTCACCAGGGCAGTGAGTGGCCCCTGCCCCATTTTACCCACTCCCCAGCCTCAGTCCTGCAGCTGCTACCACCCCCCAACCCACAAGCTCACTGGGAACCAGTCCTGTGTGAAGTCCTCCTCGGGTCCTCTGCCATCCCAGGGGGGCGGGGGGTAGTCGTGGGGTGCCCATATCCTGTCCTCCTCCTCCTCGTTCCAAGGGATGCCATCAGGGCCAGGGAAGGGTCTGGGACCCCTGGGATGATGCTGCAACAAGGAATGGTTGCCCATGAGGATGGTGGCACACTGGGGACACTCACAAAGCTGCCACCCCCTCAGCCCATCTGCCCCTCACCGGGTCCCAGCCCTCTCCAAAGTCATCCACAGGTCCTCGGATTTCTTCTCTGTCATCCCAGGGGGGTGCTGGGGGATAGTCATGGGGTGCCCATATCCTGTCCTCCTCCTCATTCCAAGGGATGCCATCAGGGCCAGGGAAAGGTCTGGGGTCCCTGGGGCTGGGCTGCAATAGGGAATTGTAGGTGAGGACAGCGGCTCACTGGGATGTTCTGGTTTTCCTGCTGTTCCCCCTCCCCACTGAGACCCTCAGCTCTTTCTGCCCCTCCTGCTCCCAGGGGAGCCCCTGATTTTGGCTACCCTGGATTTGTAGGGGAACCTCGACAACACCTTCTTGTAGCAGGACACAATTAGGGTGAAACAGGTCAAATTTCACCTAATTGCAGAGTTACCAGCGGTGGAGGGGGAGTCACGCTGCTGGTGGTGTCCAGGAAAGCTCAGAGCAGCCTGGCTCAAATATCCCAAAATTAAACACCACGAGGATGTGAAACCCAGCGTGTCCTGAGAGCAGCTGGCACTGGAGGGGATGTGGGGGACAGATGTTTCCTGAGAGGAACCAGAGAGCAGAAATAACTTATTTAAGGATAAATGGAGTTGTGCTGAGCTGGCAGGGCTCCCCCAGCAACGCCTCACTGACACTCCGTGGTTTCATCCTATAAAAGCTCAACCCCACCTTCTAACAGTGGGATTTCCAGCACAGTCCTCCTAGGAGTGCGTGTGGATTCCTCCCTGGAGCAGGGACACCCCTCAAGGTCCCTCCCCGAGGCTGAGCCAAAGAGATTTGTGTTGGTCTGGGTGAGTAACATCAATCTCTACTTAATAATTATTAATTTAACTTTGAAACCACTGATTTAATAAACAGTGCACTACAGCAATGGTTACAACCATCTATAACATGATTAAGGCCCTTCAGTCTAATCATTACCACCAATGGAAATAAATAATTTATTTTACCTATGTAAATGTATTTGTTTTGCCATTCTTAACCCTGTGGGAGGGAAGTCGTGTGAAGCCTCCATTACACCCGTATAATCCTTCAGGCACAAACTTCTGACCAAGTCTGGGGCTGGATCCACGTGTGCCCAGACTCCTCTGTGCCTGGGGGCTCCAGGGGAGGGTGTCCCTGAGGAACTCTGGCTGAGGGTCCCACTCTGCCCGTGGCACATCCCCCACCAGCCCCTTACCCGGAACCATCCGCCCCGGCCCCTCCTGCGCCGGTGCTTCCAGGGCGGCTCATCCCAGGCGTCCTCGGGGCCGTGAGGGGGGCACGGCCCTGCTCCTGCTCCATCCCCCCACGGGCAGGGCTGTGCAGAGAAGAGAGTGGTGAGACCCCCCCTGCACCCCTGCCCTGGCCGGCTGCTGAGCAGGGGTGGGAGGCAGGAGCCCACCCGGCTCCTCTGCTGGCCGAGGGCCCAGACTGTTCCCAGTTCTTCCCCAAACCGCAGCGCTGTTCCCCAGGCTCCTCCATGCCCCCAGGGATGGAGCAGCGGGTGCCCACCCTCGCCCCCCAAAGCTCCTCTGCTCCCACCCGCCCTGGCAGTTCCCAGAGCGCCCAGACCCACTTACCTCCCTGGGGAAGCCCCTCCTGCAGCCCGGCGGTGGGAACATCCTGCCCGAAGGACGTCCTGGCCCCTGTCCCAGGGGAGGGGCGGAGAGGGGCCCCCGGGGGTGTGGGATCCGCTGGAAGGGAGAGGTGAGGGTGAGCACAGGGTGAGCACGTCCCACAGGACGTCACTGCCGGCTCGGGAACGCTGCCACCCGGGTGCCACCCTGCAAGGGGGGGACTTTCGATTTCGATGAGCAGTGGAGCATAGAGGGGGAGAAAGTAATTCTATTAGGATGTGAAACCAGCCAGAGTATCGTACAATGTTACTTTACTGCACGAGTTAGCTGTGAGGCCCATTTTGTCTTTAGCAAGTTAACTGGATGTCCCCTATTATCAGAGCCGAGTTCCTCCTTGGCTTGCAAGATAGACACAAACAGCCTTGAAACAGAGTGGTAGAGGTCGTACACAGGGGTGAGAAAGATGCTGGCGAGAGGAAGATTCTGTGGGCAGGGGTCACT